ATATTAAGGATAGGATACTAATTCTTACTTCCTCTCCTCACCTTGGTTTATGCTGAGCCTGCAGGGTTTATGACTCACCAAGCAGGAAACCTTTCATTTTTTCTTTTGACCTTTTCAAGAAAAAGTATTTTTATTTCTTTTAGTATAGAGAAAAAGAAAAATAAGGAAAAGTGAATTTAGTGAATTAAACGAAAACAAGAATACAGAATAGTCTCTCTCTCTCACACACAGACGTCTTACTCGCCCTTATGGGTGGTTTGTATTGTCCTCTACCAGACGTCTGGGAGTTTGAGGGTTCGTGCCATATCTTAGCTGTTCCTAGTGCTGCACTTTGGTCAGAAAGCTCTGATGCTCTTCCTGGGATCTTTTGGAGCCACTCTTCCTGCTTAGATGTCACAGCCCCAAGGGTTCCTACCACCAATGGGACTAGTTTGACGTTTGTTTTCCTCATCCAGTCTAGTTCCTCCTTCAGACCCTGGTAGTTCTCCAGCTTCTGATAATTCTTCTTCCCCATGTTATTGTTATTTGGCACTGCTGCATCTACCACCTGTTCTTCTCCATGACCTTCTGTGGAATCTCCCATATGGACCTGTGAGGGTCTAGTTCAGGGGTCCCCAAGCTTGGCAACTTTAAGTCTTGTGGACTTCAACTCTCAGAATTCTGGGAGTTGAAGTCCACAAGTCTTAAAGTTGCCAAGTTTGGAGACTTCTGGTCTAGTTCATACACTGTGCATCTCAGTTTCAATTTTTAAGTTTATAATCATGTGGACCCTGTTGCACAGTTACTTTCCATTTTGAAAATATTTTTAATTTACAGAATCAAAAGTAGCAAAAAAAAATGTTCCCAACAAAAATCACACTTTGTATTAAGTAAAACATCAGATATACTAGCATAAGTCTTAGTTTCACCTGAACTTTGGCCCATTCCTTTAAAAATGGCCACCTAACCACAAACCTTTGCTTCTGATCTGCTAAAAGCATGCACCGCTGAATTCAGTTCAACTCTTTCTCACAACATGAGTGTCTTCATGTAGGGTTTTTTTTTTTGTCCATTTACCTTCTTTTGAAATGTTTTCTTTTTTAGTCTACAGTTTTAAATATCCCAATGAATAATAACCAGACCTGACTCTGCTATCAGCTTAAAGTAATAAAAAGAAATGTTTTTCCTTAGTCTTGGCATTTAACGGTCATCAATAGCACCTTCTGAAGTTTCTGGTGTTGTTTTTTTCTTGTTTCCTCATGTATATCTTTTTGGAATCTTTTTGGAATCATACATACATATGGTATTGCACTTTTGCCCCTCCTCCTCCTGTAAAACTCCCTTCACATGTAAACACTCTAAAATGTAATTTTTAAACATTAAATATTCATCATCAGGAGCATATTATTTCTTCCTTGTACTTATTAAAAAGGCTCAGTTGGTGTCTTGGTATCATAAAACATTGCATGGCAGAAGTGCTAGTCTTATTCCTTTACATTTCTGCCACATAATACTCTGTGAGATCTGTTTGTTGCAAGAATCTGAGTAGCAGCTCCAAGATATGTTCTTTACATATTTACAATTGTTTTCCATCTTGCAGATATTTTCATAAAGTTCAAGAACTGTTTTGAGTAGTCTCAGTGGCAGAGATATTAATTTATCTAAAAGCTACCCAACTAAATCCCATTAAAACAGAATTTGAATTAGATACTTTGCTGAGTATTTTTCACTAAACAAATACAGGTAGTCCTCGGCTTACAACGATTTGTTTTAACTATGATTCAGAGTTACGAAGGCACTGAAAAGAAGTAACTTACGACCCATCCTCAAAGTTGTGACGGTCATCCCACCCCCCGTCACATGATCATGATTTTGGAGCCAACTCATTTATGACTGTTGCAGTGTCCTGTAGTCATGTGACTATGATTTGTGACCTTCTTTCCAGTCATCTCCCAACAAACAAAGTCATAACTCACTTAATGGCCCCAGGATTTGCTTAACGACCACAATAAAATGGTTATAAAAGTGAATTTGGTTACACAATGACTCATTTAATGACCTCATTGCATAGCAATCAAAATTTCTGTCCCAATTGTGGCAGAAGTCAAGGACTACCTATACAGGAGCGATACTCTTTTCTGAAGCTGGTTCAAAGTTCTTAAGGACTTTTCTGCTCAACAATTAGAGTAAAATAGGAAACGATAAGAGAAATAAATGAAAAAGTTTTGACTGGTTGTGTCAAAATAGCAGTTGGCCTTTTCCCGTTCATTACATTTAGCAGGCTTAGCAATCGGTTTCAATCAAATTAAATTTCGTTGACTTCAATAAATGCAACTTTCCAGTGATTGGATTCTTGGCAAATGTTAATTTATTGGGAGCAATCAAATTCTTCCTAAAGCTACCAGTAAGCCTTATTATGAAGGATTATAGGTATCTTTAAGAAAGGATCTGTTTCTGCGGCAAGAATACAAAAGCGATTTTGTGAAAATACCTGAGAAGCTTCCCCCCGCCTTCCCCGATGAACGGCTTAAGGCTAGAGGAAGGGCTGGAGGAAGCAGATTAATTGAAAAATGATTTTGTCCAAGATCTTTGTAATGAGCTGTTATGCTTCATGTAGCAATTTACCAAACGGCAATATCCTTTGTGAACCACACTGCTCTCTTTTGTACAATCACTCACAAGGCCTCCATGAAGGGCACTGAGCATTTCTGTCTTTTTCAGGTCCGTATCATCTTGCTGAACTGGTGCGCTTGGTTTCTCCGAATGAAAAAACCAGGGGAGAACATCAGGCCTCTCTCTTGCAGATACAGCCACTCGAGGCACCAGTCCAGTGTCAGCAGTGTAGAAATGAACATCTTACCAGGACACCATTCTAGCAATGGCAACATGATCTACAGCTACCATGCCATAGAAAACCCCTGCTGCCCACAGAATAATGAGATAGACACCAAGGGCGGAAAGGACCAGAGCTCTTCGCCCGAAGATAACGACAGCACTCAGAGAAAAGTTTTAATGGACACTATCCCTGTGATTGTGAAAATCCTGGAGGAAGTTCAGTTCATTGCAGCCCGTTTCCGGAAACAGGATGAAGGGGAAGAGGTCTGCAGTGAATGGAAGTTTGCAGCTGCTGTCATAGACAGATTATGCCTTGTGGCATTTTCACTTTTTGCCATCATCTGCACGCTTACAATTCTCATGTCCGCTCCAAATTTTATTGAAGCTGTTACAAAAGATTTTACATAAGCCTCTCTAAAACGAATAGACGAATGCCCCAGTGTAATTGGAAATTACGAAATGATGCTATTAGTTTTGAAGAACAATGAGATTTCAAATGGAAGTAAGACTTTCTGTGCTGAATTCACTATTAAAACAAGAAGTCGGCATGTGTTTCAAATTCCAATTGTCTCCCCAGTGTTAGATATTCTAGATACAGAATTGGCTCTTGTTATTGTTATTTGTTTCAAATAGTGTCTTTCTTCCTATACTTGTGATCATAATCACCAATAATATTAGACAAGAAATCAGATACACAGCATACACTTTACCGAGTAAATAGAATCTATATGTGCTACTAGGAAACACTAGTGAACATGTTGCTGCATTGGTAAATTCTTCCTAGAAACCTGATCTTTGCTAAATGTATTGTTTTCAATATTTTTGTTTGGCATTGTAGTTTTAACACAGATCTCATCTCCAGTAATGTATTGAATGATGCTGCTAGTTGCTGTTTGCCAAATAAATGGCAAGTTTTAGCTTTTATTATCACTGTGATAATCTGAAACGTTTTCCACTTGATAACAATGTGAAGTCAATGCAATACTTTTTTCTAGTAAGTTAAAAATGTTTTCATTGTTGAATATTCTGTTTTTCTATTACATAAATTACGCCCTTTCCCTAACTTGAGTGCTGCGACTGCACCCTTATTATCTTTGTCTTTGAATTTATGTCTGAACATCTTAAATTACACCAACCTTGTTGATTTTAATTTTCTTATAATTAATATATACCACAACCCAAAATGTGCATGGAATGCAACATGTTTCACTTATTAATGATAACTATTGATAGAAATTGGAGATATAGTCAGATGAGTAAAATTAATGCACACCAAAGCAAGATTCAGTTTCTCTGCACTATGTTGCTTTGAATGGAATAGACATTCCCTTCACATCTAACTGCACATTAAAACCTGGTCATGACTCCTTGTAGTTTTTACCTTGTACAGAAAAAAAATACATAATTTTTTTTTCTACAGAATAAAAAGATTCCAGAGTCTAAGAAACCTGTAAGATCACAGAAAGATGTTGCTAATCTAGCTTTTCCTCCATTGGACACCACGGTTAATGAATAAAGGAATTGTTCATTCTAAGTCACCAGGATTGAAATAGATAGTGATTTGCCAAATGCAAATAATCACATCGTACATTTAACTCACCCAAGATCACAATTTGTACCCATCAACTCTTGGAAGTGTACAATGTAAAATTTTCCAACTGTTTGCAAGCTGCCAAATTGTTATGATCATACCTTTCCTCAATAATTATTTCACGTGGAAGAAGAAATTGAGGAAGGACTTATAGATAAAACAGAATTGGCCAAGACCATTGTTTTTTTTTTTAAAGGATCATTTTTTATAATCAAATTGCATTTACAAGAAAATGAATTACAAAGAGTAAAAAGATAAGATTCACAATAAGTTAATTTGATACAAAACATGCACTTTTTGTAGACATTTTTTAAACACCTGTATTACTGATGCAAAAATCTGTGTGATCTGCCAGTGAATACATGCAAAGGAATCGAGAGAAATGAAAAGTGAATATTGATTCCAATGTGTTGATAAAATGTAATGCACTTTAAAAAATGAAACTGAAGAGAAGTATGGCCTTCTGACAATGTGTTTATACAGGAATCTATTTCTAAAGGCATGACAGTGATGGAGTGTTACTGCTCCCCACCTGGAGTAGAGTCTCAGCATGATGCCAAGGTTTTGTTAGTGGACAGAGACTCTACCCTGCTGATTATTCATTTAACTGGCAAAGTAATGCAGATCCTTTGGATATCCAATAGTCGGTTGGCCTTTTTGAAGGAAGCAAGACAGTAACCACAAAATTGGTAGAATGACCTAATTACAAAAAAGTAAGAAAAATTGTTAGCGTTTCAAACTCATGTTCCTAAGCTGTCGCGCCCCCTCCCCAATACACACAAAACCCAGAATAAGATCTAGAATAAAGAAAACAGCAGAACATGCTAATTATATTTGGCTGAAAGAGGTGGGCAATCTTTGGGTATTGGTATGCTGCTGATGCTAAGCCATTGGCATGCATGTTGGCAAAAGTATACAGACATGGACAGAAAACCTCTGTTTCATCTTATTAGGAGGAGAGAACTATAAAGAAGGAGCTCATAATACTTTCTTCCTCAATGCAGTATCACGCTTGCCTGAGTCCCCTGCTGATCTGATGACTGCTGACAGAAGGGCATGTGAAGGTGACAGCAGGAACTAGGGGTAGAGAAAGTCATCTGCTTTGGGGGTCTGCATGCAGCCCATTGGAGGCCTAGGATTCCCAATGAATTGGGTCAACTTGTATGCAGCTGTGGAATAGGCTAGCTTTTCTGGAAGGGGAAAAACTGTGTATTAGCAGTTTTGCTAATACAAAGTGTACCTTAATGTGCTTATGTAGCTTCAAAATGCAGGCACCATAAATCAGAGACCTACATGCATGTTTTGGGTTAAAGTGACATTATTCCTCAGATACATGCATTGATTATGGTGAATCGCAAGAACAGGCTTGCCATGTGCTTAAACATGGCACACAAGCACACTAAACCATAATGCTTGAAAATCATGCTTCCACCATTCTAGGAAATAAAAATCATTCCGTAGTTAAAAAGCAAGATTTCTTCTGGTCCTTTGGCTCAAAAAAAATTAAAGACAAATTCTAACCTGGTAGCAGCAAACAAGGGCCCTGAGTTGCCCGGCTCTGCTATAGATTATGAGACCATGAGATCAAACCATTGTTTTGTTTTGGTGATAATAGGAGACAATGGACACATTTAGTGCAAACTATACAGAAAAAATGCACAAAAGTTTAGCAAATTATTTTAAAACTACATGGTTGGAATGAAGCCTCTGTTTCTGTATTACTGGATGGTGACCAGTTGTACTAAAGTTTATCCCCAGGGCTGCATCAATGTCCCAGTCTGGATCAGATGTGACAATAAATCCTTGTGGAATCAGGTGAAAATGAACATGCTCTATGAGAACATTATGAATTGGAAGACAGGGTTTTAACTAAAGCAGTTTAAGACACATTTAGAGGAATTTATTCATTAGTTGAAATTCTAAAATTCTGCAATTTGTTTTCTTTTCACTACTGATTGGGAATTCAGCCAACAGGAGCAACAACAATGCAGTCAGAACTTCAGTCTGTTGAGCAGGCAATAAATAACTATCAATATTGTAAGATCTAATACTTTCATCTAAGAAGGCTTTTAGTTCATATGACACATTAGCCCTATGAAGGATTGCTATGTTTATATCACCAGTAGTGTAATAAAGGAAGCAACCATATGGAAACCAGCAAAACAATCAACCAAACAATCTCTGATGATTCAACATGTGTGCTACTCACTTCTTTTGAGCTGAGGTGAAACAGAAGCTAGCAACAGATGTCACATCCTTATATACTGTCCAGCTTCAATGGGGTGGAATGCCCCCAACACATCCCTATTCACCTTCTCCCTATTCAAATTACCTGGAGTTTTTCACTTCCACTTCCTCATTGATAATAATTCTAGGGAAGTACATATGATATTGTCAGGAAGCTGGAACATCAGTCCACAATCATTGGCTCATGTGGCATTATCCCTACTTGCTAGTTCACCGATTAAACAGGAAGGCAATCTCCACTCTTATTCTGTGAGCCATTCGCAAAGGGGAAGATCTCTGACTTACAAAAAAGCCTACATCCTTCTTAAGAAAAAGGAATGACATCTGATAACCTCAAAGAACTTGATTCTGCACGTTTTGTGTCAGCTTCCAGATTAAAAAAAAAAGAAAATGTACTTGCTTTTTAGGAAGGATTTATCTACTCCCAGGATCTGATTCAAAAGCAGAACCTATTCCAAATACATTATTTGAAAACCCTTGTAAATACTATCAATATGGCAAATTTCAAGAATGGGACTTTGGTAGCAGATGATTTCCCTGCATCGTTTTTTAACATAATAATATCACGACAGGACTTTACTCTCACATTGCCTAGGCCTCTGGCCTTTTCTCAAGTTGTCCTTCAGCCTGGATCACTGGTTCCTTGCAAGCTCTTGCACCCTTCAGTTAGATGGGAGATTCTCTGAGATACCTGTCCTGGGAAGCCCCTTCAAAACATCACCTGGAAGATGACTGTTTTTTGGTGGTTGTATAAAAGTCCTTTGCTAGGCTGCTATTCATGTATATTTGCCAAGTTGATATTGAATATCTACTCTTGTGAATTTTACAGAAAAAAGAATTACCCGTGGTGGACAGAGTTCCTGCTCTAGCTCCAGTTTTGTAGAGGGGCGCATGATACAGTGAGGGGTGGGGCTCATAACTTTGATGCGGCTCAAAATGAATTACTGGAAGCATTGGGTTCATTTGTCGAGGTAACGCATCTTCTATAACCATTTCATCATCATCCCAGCGACTGGCATCCATAAACATGCCATGAACCAGCACCCCATCCTCAGGAGAAGGCAACTGAAAAAAAAGAAGATGGAAGGTGGTTGTCAAAGCTGAGCTAATAATTCATTAGCACTATCAAGTTCCTACCTTACTCAGGTACATATTCTTGAAATACAGCACAACATTTAAAAAAAATATCAGAAATCAACCACAATACAAGACAAACATGATGGTTTTATATAAAGATATTTCATGTGGATTCAAGATTGTTCTTCTTTGTGGCTGGATAGTCATTGCAGTCATAGATTTGTAAATACCTTTTCATCCATTGGTAATTCATTGCCAAAGTGGCACAATTTCGAAGCTTCTGATACTTGTGTTTGGTCTCTATAGACAGGAATGACGTTGTAACTAAAACTAAGCTCATCAATTGGTAAGTTATATTTCCGAGCATGATTCTGAAGAGTTCCTGAGAAATAAAAAACAAATAACCAGTCATCAAAGAACCATTAACAATGCACAGTAATTGGAATTCAATTTACCTTCACACAAACTCAGAAATATGTTCTATATTCACAATCTTTCTTGGCAAAGTTGAATTCATAATTTAATCTTTGATATTGTAAAACCCCTTTTATACAGCACTGCTTTATTATACTTCCTCATTGATCCAAGGCATCTTTATAAAACAAAGAAAATGGGAACCTTATTATTTTGAACAATTATTATGGCCTTAATGTATTGGTGTACTTGGGAGTACCATATTGGCGTTTTATTTATTATTTTTATTACTTTTCTTAGTTCAAAATAATAACATAAAGAAAAAAAACTTCCTAGTAAATTATGAGAGGGCTTCCCTCTTGAAAGCCAGGCAGTGCATGGTTTCTACTGTATTGCAGAGTGCGTATTTAACAACTATATTTTCCAATCCACTCGAGATGCTTTTCACTTACTCTAGACTTCTTCTATCTTAGAGGAGCCAACATGTTATAAATACATAGGGTGTTTTACTGCCAGATCTTAGAATCACAGAAACATGGTTAACTGGAATTTATGTGCAAGATTAATATATTGAGCACTGCATGTTTGTTAGCAAACTGCTTCTAATTGTGAATTTATTTTCAAAATTGAGAAGAAGGAAAGGGCAGTCTGCTCTATATTATCCACTGCCTAAAAGAGCATTTGATAAAAATGCTGCTTCAGATGCCTTCTTTTCTGGATACTTTTTTTAAATGAAATGAGCTATACAATCCATGATTTCAACATTACCTTCAGTACATTATTTGCATCTCTCCCCCCTGCACTTCTTCACTCCAGTTACAGCAGCAACATGGGACTAGAGTTATTTAGGAAAACTGTTGTCTCCAAATTTATTGGCATGTTATCCCCTCATCAGCACCATGGGCAACATGCTTTCAGGATACTAGTTCGGTGGCTTTACAGCTTCCCCCTTTTAATAACAGCTTTATTTCCATTTTGTACAGATTCCATCCACAAAGGGATTTGGGGGGTGGGGGGGTGGGGCTTTAGGCCCTGCAGGGAAGGACACTGACTTTTTTTCTCATTGACCAGTTGGTGGAAAAAGAGTGACTGGATCCCATTATACCCTCTTGGTTTTTAAAAGCCAGCAGCAGCGAAGAGAATTCTGCAGCCAATTTAAAAATGGTTTGAAGGGAATTGGGAAATGGAAACAATGCCCTGGGAATCTGATCCCAATCAATCAAATAACAATAATGCGGCTTGGCAGGTATTCTGAGCATCTGAAACCAAAAGCGAGACAACCAATTGAGCAACTGGTTTTCCAACCCTTTTGTGAATATGCTACCATTTAGAACATACACAGGTGACATCAGAGACAGAGACATTTATGAATGTTTACCAGTCAAAAATCCTTGTGGAAAAAAGAAACCAGAAATCCAAAATGATTTAGGTTGACCTCTTTTGAGCCAGAACTGAGGGGGAAAAAACAGTTGATATAGGTTAGGCATAAAATACGACATTCCATTTAATTTATTAAACAACGGGTTGCTGTTATTTTATTTGCAGAGAGGGACAACTGAACTGGGTTTGCCAGGGTTTTACTTCTCCATCTAAATGGATATGGCTTCGTTCCTTTTGGTCCTAATCCAGGAAATCTTTGGCGCTGCAGGATGACAATATTTGAAGTTCTCCCAGTCAGAATGAAACTCAGAGCTTCTCTCACACAGATCAGAAGCTGGAGGAGGTGAGGAGGCACTCTAAGCATCCGCCTTAGTTTTTGCCCATAACCATTTTGGCTTAGTGGGAAGAAAGCAGGGTGAAATAGACCAACTCTTTCCTTTACTCCCAGTCTGCCTGATTATATGACTGGTTTAAGATTGGACCTCAGTCAAAACAACCACGAGTACTTTGCACCATGTTTGAAGTTAAAGAGAAAAGGATGGTTCTGATGCACAGTTGAGGGGCTCTGAATTAGGGTATCTGCCTAAATGCTGATGCACTCAGTTTGTATTTACAGCATACCAGCAGCATATTATTTCAAATATCATAATCATATGGCATGATATCTTAGAGAAGTGGTAAGTCCAACATCTGATGGCAATGCATTATCAAGTCACAACAAAAAAAGATGCCTTTTGGAATTACGGAAGGTACATAAAATCCCACTGTTAATTTTTGATGATAAAACTGTATCCATTTTGCAAATAATCAGCTAAACCATTTAGGGAAAGCAATAATGCCATTACTCTCCCTTCCCCATTATTCTCCATGCCAAGAATAGGGAATATTACCTTCATTCTGCCAAGCATTTCCTCATTAGTTTATTTGCTGCAAGTCATATTTGGCATATTAATTTAAACAAGACAGAAGCCAACTTGTAATAAATGGAAAGGCAAGCATTTGGCATGATTTTTAATCGCCCTCCCCTTTAAAGTGTTTCTTGTCGCCACTTGTTTCCTTATAATGGTGCCTCTGACCTTCATTTTTAACAATTTGAACAATTTCAGCTGTCTGAAATGTTAGTTCCCCGAATTAATTTTAACGTCCAGAGATTGTATGATTTCCCTCCCCTGACTTACATACTTAATGTGCATATTCTTTCAGATATGTTTTTTCTGTGCACATTTTTCAGTTGCTAATTGCAGTTTGGTATGCTAATGTATTCTAGTTCGTATACACATTTCACAGGTGCTTACTGGCCTGGGTTTACATGAATTTACCTCACATTTTATCTTTTATGCCAAAATAATCAATGATCTCAGGTTGTATTCCTCAACCTTAGCTATTTTAAGATGAGTGGACTTCAATTCCCAGAATTCCCCAGCAATCCATAGAAATTCTGGCAGCTGAAGTCCACTTATAATAAACAGGTCATTGGTGCTCTCAACTTTTTGTGGTGGGGGACAAGAAAACTGAAGAATGAACTTGGGTTACATCCTTTTTTAATTTTCCTAAAACCCCTTACACCTGAAACATAACCTAAATTATAGACCATTATTACAGTGCACACCTTTGAGTAGTATTTCTACTTACATCTATGAAGCTTGTCCTGAGTACAAGGTCTTTCACCCAGCCCCCCAAAGGTTTCAGAGATGGATATGCGGCGTTGGCCCAGAGGCCTGGAACCTGATTATTAAGAAAGCTGTGGTACACTCTCTCCATTTCTTCGGACATTACTACAAACCCTGCAATGGCTTTGTTGAGTGTTTGTAGAGAGTTCTGAAAGTTGAACAACAATACTATGCTTTAATCTTCTGTGGAGAGGAAAATAACATAAGTAATTGTATCTTCCCCAGGCAATTGTATTGCCAATTTTCTTGCTCTCACATTAGCTTCAATTATCTAATGCAGTGTTTCTCGACCTTATCAAACTTTAAGATGAGTGGACTTCAACTTCCAGAATCTCCCAGCCAGCCATGTTGGCTGGGGAATTCTGGGAATTGAAGTCCATTCATCTTAAACTTACTAAGTTGAGAGACAATGATCTAATGACCTTAACAAAATAGAGCAGTAGAAGGGAAAATCACTGATAAAATCTCAGTTGGTACTACAGCAATGCTTTCTGAAGTTACAATACATGCAAGTTGTCTTCACATCTTCCAGGACACACTTGCTTGATTGTAATAAGGAGCTTAGCAGTAATGCATTGTGGAGATTATACAGGTATTCCACCTTCCTTCCACAGAATGTTTGTGTCCCGTCTCCCTTTTCTTTCTCCTCTTCCTCTGACAGAAATTTAAATGTCATTATAAGGCAAACGGGGAGGAAAAGCAATGGAAGAGTCGGAAACATAAATCCTTGAACTGACGTGGCTATCTAGATAAGGCAGCTATTACATTGTGCGTGCAAATATTCATTCCATTTCTCAGTTTAAAATGAAAATTTCCCAGCAATTTATAATATTTTAGTAAAAACACAGCAAAACAACAGAGCAGGCAAAAATAAGATGCAAGTAAAACAAAAATATATTCAGATAATTTTTCACTGATCTTTCATGAAAAACCCTCAGGGCATGTATAGTTAAAATATTTTTTTAAAAAAATTCTGCAATCAAAATAATATATAACAAGCTAAGGCAAAGGATGAGCATACAGAATCAAGCATTTAAATCATAATAAACTCAAACAAAGCCATCCTTCTCACAATCTTAATCTGAAGTGATTTGTTTGAAAATTAACTCCAACGACATCAATCAAAATCTTACTTAGATTTTGATTTTTCTACTTTGGTCATCTACTTTATATTATCCATGTTTAAAAGAGATTTTCCCAACAGTTTTTAGACCAGATTCACAAACAAATGGAAACTATCTATCATATTTGTTTGAAAAGACAAAAATGCAACTATCATGTCTTAACCTCCTTCAATTAAAGGAAGCCAGGAAAACAAACGTGGTGTGACCAATGTTCTGATAAATAAGGATGAAATTTTTCTGTCAGTGAAAGTATATGCCTGTGAAAATAGTGAGATAATTCCTGGAACTGTTCTCCTGATTTGTCACTCTCTTCCTACAAGGTTAATGCATTCTTTCCAATGATGTTGATATTCTTGCATTCTATGAAAGCAACATTTCTCCCATACAGACCTCATATCAATCTTCATTAGCCAGAAATTATTTCATGCTGCAGTAGGAGTGGGAGGGGCTTCTGACTTCCTGTTCGTTTCCCAAATGACTTTGTTGTGGGAAATTAGCAGAGAGTGTTGCAAATCATGATCACATTGACCGTAACTGACTACAGTGATGCTGCAGCAACCACAACTCTGTGAATACAACTGGTGTGAAGATCCTTGAAATTACCAATTTTACATAAGTAATGTGTCCTGGATTTTGTAGCAAAATCTTTAAATTAGTGGATTGGAGATATAGAGAATTCTTGACGTAAAACTATTGGTTTAGCAACTGTTCAAAGTCACAACAGCAGTGAAAAAAGTGACTTGCAACCAGTACTCACACTTAGAATCATTGTGCCCATGGTCATGTGATAAAAATTCAGCTGCTTGGCAACCAGCCTGTATTTACAGAATCCTGGGGTTATGTAATTGCCATTTGTGACTTCCCAGTTGGCTTCTGACAAGCGAAGTCAATAGGGGAAGCCAGATTCACTTCATGATTGCATGCCATGGCAAAAATGTTGCAAAATTGGGTGCCACTCACTGAATGATCTGGTCCCAATTGTGGTCATAAATCAAAGACTACCTGTACTGTGATTCAAAAATTATTGTGTTATGATGCATCATTTGGCCTGATGACCTAATTGAAGACAGCAAAGTCCACATTTTGGACAGAGAGGACCACTAATTTGAAAGACAGAGTCAAAGAGGCCATCTGTGTCAAAATTATACAGCCCTCTCTCAGCCAAGAGAGCCCTCCAACCAGTGGTGGGATTCAAAAATTTTTACTACTGGTTCTGTGGGCATAGCTTGGTGGGCATGATGTGGCTTGGTGGGCATGATGTGGCTTGGTGGGCACGGCTTGGTGGGCATGGCAGGGGAAGAATACTGTAAAATCTCCATTCTCTCCCCACTCCTGGGGGAAGGTTACCACCGGTTCTCCAAACTACTCAAAATTTCCACTACCGGTTCTTCAGAACTGGTCAGAACCTGCCGAATACCACCTCTGCCTCCGACATCATATTTTTACTTGAAGTCAAAAGAGTCATCAAACTATATGTTCCAACAACAACTCCCAAAACAAAACAAAAAAGCAGATTACCCATATCAATAAGGAAACTTCAATCCAAAAAGAGATCACTCTGGCGGAAAAACAAATCTGGTCACGTTGCCAATTTCAAAAACCGATAAAAAAATTTATGCCACCAGATAAAGACTGAATGCACCAATTATCACATTAAACAAGAGGAAAACCTTCTAAGCACCAATTCCACCCGTGCTTTTTACAATTTTGTAAACAACAAACTAAAAGACTCAAGTTCCATCCCTCCCTTGATAGGACCTGATGGTAAAGACTGCAACGACGACACCATTAAAGCCAACATCTTTAACACATTCTTCGGCTCAGTATTTGTAAACAGCAATGGATCATGCCCAGTATTTCCTAGCCGTACCACAGATAACAACAATGATCTAATACATATCGATTTCACAGAAGACAATGTTGAAAAAGCACTACGCAACCTAAAACCATCTCTATCTATTGGACCGGATGGAATATGTGCCTACTTCTTAAGAAAGCTATCCACTGCCATAGCCAAACCTCTAAGCATAATCTTTGAAAAATCTTTCAGGACCAGCTCCTTGCCTAACCTATGGTCACAAGCCACAGTCATCCCCATCTTCAAAAAGGGAGACCCAAGCCTAGTTGAAAATTACAGGCCAATCTCCTTATGCTGCGTCACCTGTAAAGTCATGGAATCAATTATTAACCAATCCATCATCCTCCACTTAGAGACAAACAACCTACTCTCCAATAAACAATTTGGTTTCAGAAAAAAACTATCCTGTAATCTGCAACTCTTACACTGCAAAAACATATGGACGACACAACTCAACCAGGGCAAAGCAATAGACGCAATCTACATAGACTTCTGTAAAGCCTTTGATTCAGTGGTACACGACAAACTACTCCTAAAAATAAAATCCTATGGTATCTCTGGACAACTGAATAACTGGATAGAAGCAGTCCTGTCAAACAGACAACAAATGGTCAAAATCGGGAGCGTCCTATCAAATCCAGTACCTGTCAATAGTGGTGTCCCTCAGGGCAGTGTTCTAGGACCAACTCTCTTCATACTCTACATAAACGACCTCTGTGATCATATTAAGAGCAATTGCGTTCTCTTCGCTGATGATGTAAAGCTGTTCAATACCACAGACAATACTGCTACCCTACAAAAAGATCTTGACTATGTATCTGAATGGTCAAACAAATGGCAACTTCAAATATCAACAAATAAATGCTCTGTCTTACATATTGGCAAAAAAAATCAGAAAATAAAATACAAGCTGAATAGTCAAGATCTTGTTGATGACCCAAGCTCTGTAAAGGACCTTGGAATACTCACCTCTAATGATCTAAGTGCTAGAGCCCACTGCAACTACATAGCCAAAAAGGCATTAAGAGTTGTTAACCTAATCCTACATAGTTTTTTCTCTGGTAATATCACACTACTAACCAGAGCATACAAAACATTTGCTAGACCAATACTCGAATACAGTTCATCAGTCTGGAACCCTCATTACGTATCTGATATTAGCACAATTGAGAAAGTCCAGAAATATTTCACAAGAAGAGTTCTCCACTCTTCTACTCGTTGTAGAATACCTTATGCCACCAGACTTGAAATTCTAAAACTAGAAAACCTTGAATTACGCCGTCTTCGGTCTGACTTAAGCATGGTATATAAAATCATACATTGCAATGTCCTACCTGTCAATGAATACTTCAGCTTCAACCATAACAACACAAGAGCACACAATAGATACAAACTCAAAGTAAACCGCACCAAACTTGATTGCAGGAAATACGACTTCAGCAATAGAGTGGTCAATGTCTGGAATACTCTACCCGACTCTGTAGTCTCTTCCCCAAACCCCAAAAACTTTAACCTTAGACTGTCTACTATTGACCTCACCCCTTTCCTAAGAGGTCTGTAGGGGGCGTGCATAAGCGCACCATCGTGCCTACCGTCCCTGTCCTATTGTTTCTCTTATTCTTTTATTTTTCTTATATGTACCCATTTCATGTATTCACAACTATGTATACACTTATACTTATTATCTTGTAAACAATTGGCAAATCAAATAAATAAATAAATAAATAAATCATCTATCTCCAGTTTACAACACAGTCCTTTCAGCAGTTCCAAGAAGGCTCCACTCCCATTTGCACAACTCAGGTGAAACAGATAAACCTCCAGGTGGCCTCAATGACTTGGTAAATGGAAGCAAACGACCAACTATCTGCAAGGAGTATAAATTATTCCATTCCCCACCATCCTGTCAGAGTTGAAGAAGTTTCTTGGATGAGAAGCGAAATGTCTTTTTAAAAAAGAAAAAAAGAAAGTCCAATTGCCTCTTGAAAAAGCACCCTTGGGACAACTATGACCTGGAGAACTGAGAATCCCCATAGACATTTGGCCTAATGAAATGTTACAAACAGGCAGGAGAGCTTTAGTAGTATATAAATTAAAAGTAGTCCTCAATTTATGTCAACAATTGGGACCAGAACTTCCAATGCTAAACAAGGCAGATAAGTGAATTGTGCCCAATGTTATAGCCTTTTTGCTGTTGTTATTAAGCAAATCACCACAGCTGTTAAGTATGTCCCATGGTTGTTAAGGCATACAACCCCCCCTTGCCTATGCTAATTAGAAGTCAGCTGGGAAGGTTGCAATAACAATCACATGATCTTAGGAGGCGGCAACCATTGGAAATCCCTGCTGGTTGCCAAGCACCCGAATTTTAAGACACTGTCACAGTCATTAGTGCAAAGACTAAGCACAAAATTAAGTCATTAGGTCATTAATTAAGTTGAGGATTCTCTGTAATGCCATATGTAGTCAAAGGAATAACACAGGTAAACCATCCAAACTAGGCTTGCTGAGTCCCAATGATATCACAGGTATTATTTAGCAACACTCAGTCTTACATGTTCTCTCTCTCTCTCTCCCTCTCCCCCTTCGTCTCTCTCTACCTATCATCCATATCATCTTTCTTTCATACTTCTTAACTTCTTTCTTTCATACATCTTTATTTACTTTTTCTGGTAGTACTGGAAGAATGATAGAATACATTAGACAAAACGTTTTGATTTAAATCCCAATCATAACATCAGAATTCATTCCACTAATTAAGAAATTTATGTTTTTATACCCTTAGCAGACTGAGAAGACCATTAAAACGATCTACTTCTTGCCCAAGAACCGTCGTTAGAGAATCTGTTCGACCTTTGCTATCCTTCACAAAAAGTATCTCTGCAGCAAGATCCATGTCCATCTTATCTGCAAAAAACAAAACAAAAAACCCAAACCCACATTGTTTTCATCTCTTAAAAAGTTAGTTACCACACATTTAAAACATACAGTGATGGATAACAGCTGATTTGAGGAGGGATTTGTGGGTCAGTGGGCAATATAAGATCTGTTCAACACCAGATTTCATACCAACTTAGAAACCCAGGAATTTTCTTTCATTGTTAAGAGGTTTTGATGGCAAAATAGATGCTTGGTCAAGGCATTTACTTAAGCCTTTGGTGACAGCTGAGCATCTAATCCCCAGGCTCTCTTAAAATTTGAGAGTTTACCACCAACCTTCCTAAAGGGAAATTGTTTAGTGGCATTGCATAAAAGCATAGAGCAATGGCAATTAGTCTTCCTGGGTTTGGTTTGACTTTTTAATCTCCCCCCCTCAGCCAGAGGACAGTGTTCCATTCTAGTAGGAAATAGGCCATGCCCGTGAGGGTATTCTGGGCACTAACTTCACATACCACAGCAGAGATCCAAATCAAATAGTTTCATGAAATAATATACCAATCAGGGAAGGATGACAATCGTAATTTTTCACAGTAGGCAATATTAAAATCAAATCAAACAATCAAACAAAATAAAATAGTCTTCCCAAATTCTCCAGGGCTTGATAGGCTAAAAACATGATACTTCTCCCATACTTTCACTCTCCTGTGTCCTGGCAATGTAAGATTTCCTTTGGCAGACACAGAAGACCTTATAATGCTAAAATACAGTTTCTAATTCTAACAAGTAGAAATAACACTTTTCTATATTCTGCGTTCTACAAATTTCAGCTAAAAGTATCTCTATTTATACAAGAAAGGAAGGAATCATAAGAAAGACTTTTTTTCCTTTCCTCTTGTCAGTTCTGACTTTCCTTTAGAATAGTTATTACTACGAAGTAGTTGGTTAGTTTATGTTTTAATATATTGTATAAATGCAAGCGATCTCTTTAAAAAGTAAGGGGGGTTATTTCAATAAAAGCTGGGCCTTTTGTTGGAAATTTTGAAGCAAACCCTTTGGAAAAAACCCTTTGGAAAATAAGCGCACCAACGTGCCTACCGTCCCTGTCCTATTGTTTCTCTTATTCTTTTATTTTTCTTATATGTACCCATTTCATGTATTCACAACTATGTATACGCTTATACTTATTATCTTGTAAACAATTGGCAAATCAAATAAATAAAATAAAATAAATAAAATAAAAATCAGACAAATGAGATGTCTACAGTATAGCATGGAACTATACCCATATTCAATATACTGAGTTAACAATATATCCCCCCAAATTGCTAGATGCAGTTGCTACATTGGGCATTCTCTAGATTAAACAAACATCTTTGGAAGAAAATATTAGGTGACTTCCTTTGCTTAATGAAGCAAAACAAAGGAACAAACCTAAGGATATATTTTAAATATACAGACACACTTGCATATTCTGGAAAGCACTGCAAAATTAAGTATACAATTCCATGAACATACAGAGCAAGTAGATACAGATTTTATATTTGAATAAACATATACAAGAAGTTGCTGAATGACATTCTGGCAAGTTAATTTAACATTTTGTTTCTGGACTGTACTAACCCAAGTTAGATATTATAATCAGAATAGACAGCCAACTATTTAATAGGGCTGACAGTAACAGGTCTTATCTTAACTATGTTTTTCTAAATTCTTACTCATTAAGAAAATATTTGCAGATATGCATGGCTTAAAAGAATAACTTGCCTCAATTAAGACCATGCACAGATTATCCCCTCCCAAAATGGTTTATCAATAGAAATGTTATTTGAATCGTATGTTATTTTTTTAAAGGAAGCTAAAATTAAATTAGTTTTAACCTGCATTAAATAAAATCATTATGATTACTGCTTTATTGCCTTATAGCAATTTTATTTCAGAGTCCGCAGAGCAGAACCATACAAACCACAAATGGCTTGACAAGCATTTTTCAGGGTAAAGATTTTATTTTGTGCATTTTTGAAGCAGTCTAGGAAAAATCCATGGCAAAGTCCAGCACAATGTCTATATTGTGATTATAGAAACAAGGTACACTCTAAAGGCATGAAGATTACTTTCACTTTACAACCCTATTCTCAGTTACAAGATGTTTCCTCAAACTTTTGTCATGTTTTTAAATTTTTATTTTCTCAATATTAAACATAAAGAACAAAAGAAACAAATTCTGTGTGAATCTTAAGTAGCACACAGATTTTACTAGAATAGCATGATCTTAGATAAATGAATTACATACAAGTTATTCATCTTGAATTGTTTATGTTCCATTTACTTTATAATATATGCTGGAGAATATTTATTTTTAAATGGCTTTTGCTGTTATAATTGTTTAGGAGACTGATGTATTTCCCCAGCCAATGTGTACAAAAAACTAAGGTATTTTTTATTTCTTGAAAGAAATATCTGGCAACCTGTGGTAGTTTCAACTGAACAGCCCCCTTCTGTATAAGCTTGTTTGTTGTTGAAGATGACCTTAATACCTCTACTTATGTAATACAAACACAAAGAAATATTTTACTTCAGAGACCATGTCTCTCTCCAACTGCCCCCCCGCCACTCCTCTAAACTTTTCTCCACTTCCACTAATGTCTATAGAGGAGAGTCTTTGATTACACTGCCATGGCTGCCATATTATCCCCCCCCCCTCCAATTCCCTTAGCAGACGTCATTATCCTTAAATATAAATATTTAAATATTGAACCTAATACAAATAAAAAGTATTGAATCTAACTCACCATGCACCTCTAGTTAGGGAATAGACCACTTCTTAAAGATAGATAATTTATATAAATGTGAATATGTGGAAAGTGATTGTTTAATTGAGACAACTGAATACTGGGTACACGAGGGAATAAAACAAGATAATCCCTGCTATTAAAAAAAGTATGCAGTGATTTTCATACCAGGAATTTTAGCAAGGATTGAACTAGCAAGTTCATGCACAATCTCATCATTGCTTTTTCCTGATCCCTGGGCTGTTGTTCGTGGCTGTACATCAAGTATTGTAGTAATCAGAGTATTAGTTTCCTTTCGCTATAAAAAAAAGAAAATATGAAAGGTATTAATTTTTAGAAGCCCATATTTAAAATAGATGACACTTAAAATTGAAAATTTTCTTTCTATAAATTTGCCTATTTGTTTAATTTCACCATTATTATGAAAGCACACTAATTCTTTATCAAGCTGAAAATTTCAATCATAAAAAAATGGTTGCATGTGAAAACCATCACACAATATATTTTTCCCATTTGGTCTTTGAAACTCCTCATAAAATGCATTCATATTAGGTTTCTCATTCTGATTCTTTAATCAACAGAAGTAATTAAAGCTGATTAAACTAGTTGGCAACTCAGTCAAGTAAATAATTTTAAAGCTTTCAGTTGAAAAAAGGCAATCCATCTACATATTTTTAACTTCATGATACAGCAACTTTTTAAAATATAGCATTAATGGTAGCCTTAATGATGAAGGTTGAATTCATATTTAATGATTTTATGTAATTACTTTCTAGCAAAATATTTTTTTAAAACCCTTTTGCTTGGTCTGAATGGCCACAATTTCTTAGACAATGTACATCTTGTGAATTTTTTTTCAAAATGTTGAGCTTTAAGCTTATGATATCTTTCATTTGTTTATAATGACTGATATACCATCAACCATCACTAATATTTTTAAAAACCAGTTTCTCAGTCTTGAAGTAACCGATTTCGATATTTGCTTTGGAAATTTTAAAAATGAGATGATCATACACAAGATGAAATGAGTTGAAGGGTCCTTGGTGCTCTCTGAGCTTTGTTTTTTTCTTGCAGACGTTTCATTACCCAAACTAACATCATTAAAATAAGCTCTTTATAACCCTGTGTTTTTACTATATGTTTTTCTGTCCAATGCTCCATTTCCTCACTGGAAACATTCTAGAGAAAATAAAATGATTTACAGTAGAATACGTACTGTACAAATATATCTTGTTTTGAGGAAAAACTCAAGTTCTTTCTTCCTTTCAGTGCCGCTCTGAGTTTTATTTGCTCCTGTTTTTTGGTCTTGCACAGTTTTTTTAAGTTTTGCATTGCCCCTTATTTTTAAATATGTTAAGTTTCTGGGAGTCAGACAGCATATAATAAATTGCCATGATTGTATACACAAAATGTGAAATCATAGATGCTAGTTTTTTAGCTGGTGTTGGCTGCATACACATCAAGTTCTTCCCAAGAACCTAGGATGTTATCCCAAAGGTGCTTTTCAAAGGGCAAGTGGAGTTTCAGTTTTGAACTGAAGGAGCTTCTTGGATGAGAAGTGAAATGCCAGAATAATTCACTGGAACATCTGTAAAATTATCAAGTATCAAAAATGGAGCTGAAAAATTAGTCAAAAATTGAGCACTTAACATTGATAAAATTTTCACCTGTCAATTTCAAAAGGCCATGCTGCAGATACATTATGACATCCTAGGTTCTTGCGAAGAACCTGGTGTATATGAAGACCAACACCAACTAAAGAACTGGCAGAAGTGATTTCACATTTTTGTGTACCTAATATTACTTGCTAGGTAGATGAAAATACCAAATCCAGTCTAAACATCTATCTGACTGTGCACTCAACCTTAATAATTTATTATGTTACTATTACACAAGGACTATAACAGATGGCAGATACCTGAAATACTCCCAGGGAAATCTTGCCCTTGAACTAAGATTTTGTATTTTAGACTGCAGGAGTGAATTTGTTCTGTTTGCAGATTTCTGCCAACTGCAAAGGTGACCTGCGCCATACCGAGAGAACTAGGAGATGATGGAGTTTAAAATTTTGGTCATTCCATTGAGAATAATTAAGATGATTTTCAATGAATGATTTAAAATAACCTCAGAGAAACTGCATTAGATGTTAGAGAGCACAGTTTTATTTAACAAGAATGCTGCAGGTTGACAGTGTAAGTTTGAAGTTATTCTTCTATTAAGAAAAAATTTAAATTGATATGGCAATATTATTGGTATAAATACTATTTGTAATGAAATATGTATAGCATGTATCATAACAGGTTTTAAAATAACTAAAAACCTTTTACATGACAGAATTATTTTGGTAACATTTCAGGGATGGACACATTTTAGCAATCCTGAATACTTAACAATTACTGCTTGTTATTTTTGTGCAACTGACTAACCACTACTAAAGTCCTACTTTTGTACTGAGTTGTAAAACACAATTTATCTTAAATTAGTTTTGAACATTTATTTTGAGTATATTCGCACCTGGAATGCTAAATTGGCATTTTCATGCATTCCAAATATTTCTGGGTCATCAATCAAAGGAAGGTTTTCAATATAATCCTTGAAGTTTTGCAAACTGTCAGCCACAGGGGCAAAATATATTCCTGTTTTATTAAAAAGAAATAGAAACTTATTAAAAGACAAACACAATAACAATTTCATACATTCTATACGATGCAATTTTATGTAGATATAACTTTAATAATTAATATCATACTGCTAGCTTTCAGAAAACATTCTACCACTCTACGTGATATGTGTCAGACTAGAACTTCCCAAATATCTACGTTAAAAATTGTCTAAGCATTCATAATTTTCCTTTATTGCTTTACAATGCAATATTTGTTGTTTTATGAAAGAGTACAGAAAACACATTAATATGGAACGCTGTTTGTACAGAGCTTATTTGAAACAACAAATAATATTGCTTTTATTTGCTACTTTGATTGTTGCTCTTTCTATGTATTTAACTGAATTCTGGTGTTTTATCTAATTGAGCTTAGAATATTTTGAAGTTATTTGAAATAACAAATAACTTTAAAATATTCTAAGTTCAATTAGATAAAGCACCAGAACTCAGTTAAATACATAGAAAGAGCAACAATCAAGACAGCAAATAAAAGCAACGTTAAGCAAATTTATTTAGAGTTTGAAGTTCTTTTTTAAAAAAACTTGGAGAAATAGAAAGAGCTCCATTGGATGTGGATTTTGGGTAAGCATCCTTGAGGAGAGCATCTCCTCTCCAAGAACATCTCTTTGAGCTCTCCTCAAGGACACCATCTGAGAGAAAACTTTCTCCCCACCACCACTGCAAATTTGATGAGAATACTTAGAGAAGAGCTTCTGGATATAATTGCTAGTCCCTAAAGAGCTGCAATTCTCAATGTCACTTTTCTTCTAAACTGATACCAGTCACCTAGTAAGCAATTTAAATATTCTTTGGGGAGTTTTGGGTTGTGTTTTTTCACATAGAATAGAATGACATTAACAGTTAATTACAAGGTGTTGTCAGCACAGCTACCGGGGTGTTAAAGAGAAGGAAAACTTGCTGAAATTACCATTATGAATTAGAAATAATGTACATATTTTGTTTGGAATGTATTCTGGTTGAATTGATGACAGATAAACTATTTGTATAGATGTTTTTTAAACCAACAAGAAAAAAATAATATATTTCAATTAGCAAATCATTGCTTACACATAGAGGACATTAAACTGTTCATTAACATTAAACACGTACAAACATTTTATATTTGCATACTGTATATAGCATTCTGATCGTGTAAAGTGAAGTTTGGCTAAGAAAAGTGATGAGTTTTGATTTCAAAACAGGAAGGCAATTATTAAAAGTTATCAGTGATAGACAGGAGTGGGATGCTGCCGGTATAACAACCAGTTCGGTGTTTGTGTGCTTTGTGTGCGTGTGTGCCTGACACGCACTGTGCGCGCGTGAAGAGCAATGCAAAAATCCTTACCTGCTATGTTGCTTCGGGGGAGTAACACAGCTAAGGAGCGACAATCCGCTCTTCCGCGCTGATCAGCTGGGATGATAAAGGTCAGTACAGCGCAGGAGCAGGTGGGCGAGCCCATATGATTGTCGGAGCGAACCAGTTCATTCCCAGCTGATCTTCGGAGCTAGGGGTTCACTCAAACCGGTCCAAGCCGGCAGAATCCCACCCCTGGAGACAGTGTTAATTCACCTGAGCTGTTCAGAAAGATTGACATGCTAAAACATGTCCTTTGGGCATGCAAAGAAAGTCAACCTCTAAGATAGGACTAAATAAGATTGAGGAGATCCAGTTTGGGTAGCGGTTAAGGCACCAGGCCAGAAACCAGGAGTTTGTCAGTTCTAGTCCTGCTTTAGATACAAACCAGCTGGGCACTTTTGGTCACTCTTTCAACTCTGGGAAGGTGGCAAACCACTTTTAAAATCTTAACAAGAAAACTGCAGACATTGGTCCCGGCAGGAGTGAAGACTGATTCAAAAGGATTTTTAAAAAACAGATTGAAAGTGGAGAAGGACCTTTAAAATGTCTAGGGTAGTAGAAAAACTAGGTAGCTTAAAGTAGAAAAACTAAAAACAAGTATTGCGGTAGATAATTAACTGGGGGAATAAAAGTAAGAGAACAGTATTTAGGCCCTGGGAAAGGCACAAGCTCTCCAGAGCCCTTGGGAAGTTATTATTTTTTAAGCACTGTGGAGGAGAGTCTCAAGAAAGTTTCAGCAGCTTTCAGCAGTTTTCATTCCCTCACCCTTCCCCCCGAGAAAATCACTGGATGCATGTAGAGAATGAAAAGCAGAGTGGATCAAGGGCTGAATTTTCTCCAGTTTTTTTGATGAAGAGAGAAAGAGCACAGAACCTATTCAGACAGGGTACAAACTATGCTTGGTAGTGATGTTAATTAAGACCAATAGAGTTAACATTTTCTCTGATCATGTTTTATGAGGATGGAGACGCTTGGGCAGTTCAGGCTCAAATTAGTACCTGAAACACTCCTGATTGAGATAGATATACACATGCATCCTAATGACAGGAGGAAAAAGGTGAATTGCCTGATCACCCATGCTAACAGCATGGAATAAGGTATTTTTCTGTAGAGAAATACATTCTTAATTTGCAGAGCATTAATGCCAGGGAGAATCAGATCATGGTTGTACTCAACAGCTAGCAGGAAGAGTAGGATGATGAAATCAATGCAAATGCTCTGAAGGACAAGACCAGAAATGAACTACAATGAAAACCTGAAAACTAGCAGTGAATTCAAATGAAACCATAAGAAACTAGGAAAACTATTCATGAGGATGGCTTGGAAAGAATATAGCTTTCTTCATATTGTTAATGAGATGTAACTGTTTGTTTCCAAATAAACTGAGATTAGATCAGAAACAGCAAGTTATGACACAGATGTGCTGGAATGCTCGACTGAGAATAAATAGGGGAAGCGAATGAAGGCTTCACAAGAAGATAAGCTGCACATTTCTTCCTTGTGACCAATGGAAATGGGCAAACAAATGTTAAGGTTCCAATTATAAGATTATATTTGACTATTATAGAAGACAGAATGCATCTATTGGGATTAAAAGACCAATGGGTAGGTCAAGCCTTTCAGAAATTTCCAGAGCTTTATATTTGCATTACCACATTACATTTAAATAATCTAATAGACATTAAATACTCCTACTACAGCTTGTAAAGTATGTAGTAATTCTGGGAATGTGTACAGCCAGCAGGCTTTCTAATGAACTGGATTGGAACATTTCTATTAATAATTTCAACATGCAGCTCTAAAATAATTATATAACAACAGCATGGTAAAATCAAATGCTTGTATACTTCCAGTGATTTTGAAAACAGGCACATAAGATATCTTCAATAAAATGAAATAATACTGACCTTCGTACCTGTATTCCTATCAATCTCAAGAGCCTTGAAGATTCTGTACAACTTCATCCTGCTAGTCATGTATGAAATGTACACAAAGGATTTCTCATTTTGCTGAGCCTGTCTTGGTGACCATTCCCTGCTCTGAATACAGGTAGATCACGACTAATATAAGTTCCAATAATGCACTGGTTCCCTGTAAATGCTTTTCATCAACAACTTGCTTCTTAGGAAACAAGTACTGCTCCTTGAAAAAGCAAGTTAGTGAAGCAAACAAAGGTTGTCTTGAGCTCCTATCAAGAAACCACTAATGGATGACTATAATTTAAAATAGCGGAATAAAACATTTTGCTAATAATGGTGCCCTCAATACAATGCGGGCTTAGAAATGTCTAACTACAGTATGCGAGAGATTCAATTTTTTTTTTTACTTTTAAAGAAGACTGTTTTGGATCTACTGAGTAATAATCTCAGCAAAAAGAGCAGTAGGGAATAAAAATAAGCTCCTGCAACGTATTGTAGATACATAGGTAGAGTTTTTCCGCAAGCTTTTATTTGAAAAAAATTGGAACCCAATGACATATTGGGAAAGGTTGATCAAGAAAAGGTAAAACTGAAGTAAAACACAGTTGGAATCAGCAGGTATGAAAGAAGAACTTGAGTAAAGTAACATCATATCCTCATCTAGAAGACATCACTCATTTGCACTCAAAAGACTGGGAATAAGGATGCTGGTGATGCATTTGCCATACGCAGAACTAATAAACCATTGTACTGTGACGATGTGCTCTATTTAGCTCACCAGCAAAAGGAGCTACTGCAGTCGACCTTGAAAGGAACAGAAGGAAACACTGCATCACAAGGGCAAGATTGTCTATATTTGAACATATAGAAACTCAACCACTGAAATTTTAAGGTGCTTCTCTTCATTTACCTTTACAGTTTAGCTTTTCTGAATTTAGGGAAACCTTTAAAAAATGGCAGCTGCATGATCCGAAGATCTTGTCTTTTTTAGACTGGGAATAATCCAGAGAAACAGCCACATGCTGATACCTATAACAATTCAGATTTTAAGAAATTGAGAGAGAACACGTCTTAACAGATGTCCAATTCCTTGTAATATAGAAATCACCATGAGCACTAAATTGATGAAGATAAGAATAGATGGCACATGAGCAGTTAGGGGTGAATAAGAATATATTGCAGCCCCTTAAGGAATAGATTAAATCATAAGAATCTGAAATGTACCGTTGAATACCTGAAACTGTATTAATTTAAAATGAAATTAGATATACCTGATTTTTATAAGATTATGTCCATTCTTTTAAGGGAATCAATTACCCACATATTTTTTTTTTCCTTTTCTGTCATTGAAAATTATAGCTTGGTAAGTTCTTTTGAGGGTGCTCTGGTGAACATATTCAAGGTTTTATATGTGACAGGTGGCCAATACACCTCAGGTTGTGTATTTTTGCTCAGAATAACCATTCCAGGGAAGAATGCAATATCAGTAATTAGTTTTATTCTTCTCAAACACATCTGAATCATCGAGCAATTGCAATCAGTTTAATAGAAGCTTTTACCGATGTCAGATATCGGCAACTTAAAATGTATTTACCTGATTCAGAATATTTATACTCTTCTTCTAAAGTTTCAGGAGAAAAAAACCTCTTTAGGATTGTGCGAAGACACCTTTGATCCCAAGCATCTGTAACTCGTCCTCCATATGTAATCTCCCCTGCAACATTATTTGTTTTACAAATGATCTCATCATTCATTATGTTTAATGTAACACATTTTTAGCTCTATTTTCTCTGAATAATTATTGAACTGGTGTTATCATGCATCTAAATTTCCTCTAACTACATCAATAGAAATGTGCAAAATGCTAGACCATCAAATTCTGTGTAACAAAAGATTAATTTTAATAATTGGTTAATATGCAAAATTGTATATTTGTAGGCTGATAAATGCATAATTAAATAATGTGCTATGTCTGGTAAAAAAAAGTGTAAAATATGGATACCTGTGTATCTTATTACACTTTGTGACTAATTTTCTTCCTTAACTATGGCAAGCTTCGGTGTAAAATTTGGGTTATGAAAACACTCACTAAGATTATTCTATCGTTTAAATAGAAACATATAGCCAAAATGATAAACATAATAGATACTGGTAGTGCAAATTGTGACTTTCAATTTTCATGTCAGATTTTGAAATTTTGTTTTTAAAAGCTTTTAGTTGAAACAATACCCAAACTTTTAGAGCTTTATGGCAACTGTAATAACTTCATAAATACCTACTTTGCAGTTTTCACTGAACTGCAGCATGAAGTATATTGCTGGCCCTGCCACACATTAACAATAGTGAAGCTAAGAGTGCCAGCAGATTGAGCTCTGGGTAATAAATATATTGAAACAGCCAGGAAAACTGTTGAGACTGAAATCGCAGTAAGAGTCTAATGCTAATTTTTATTACATGTGTTTGTGTTTCATCCACAAGTCAAGGTGAACATCATGTTTTTCTACAATAATAATACTTTGTTGATTAAAATAACAATGAATTCATTATATAATCTTTGGGAAGAACTCTATAGGTGGATAAAAATGCCAGATCCAATCTAAACATCTGGCTGATGGGGTGACTAATATTCTTCATATAAAAATCATATTTCTGTGTCATTCCTACAATTTACCCAATCATATCCACGTATTCAGTTCCCAATTGTGCTGTTTTCTTCAAATGAAGGGCTACTTCATAAATATTCCCGAAGAGGAGCAAAAACCAAGCCTTTTCAGACACTTAACCTCGTCAGATCACTTAAAACAGATCCATAGAGATTTCTGTATTACAGGGTAACACAATGGAGCCTACTTATACTTTAAAAGGGTTTCCTCTTGTTTTTAAGTACTCGTTTATCTGCTGGGTATATTTAGTTTTAGTACATGGGAGGAGGGAGGGTCTGTCTCAGTTAAATCAGGACTGGCAAATACATTAGTAGTAGAGAAAAGACGATTTGCCTTTGGCAGGCTAACACACCATAACTGTTGAAGGAAGGCTAACATTTAAGAATAAGTTCTCTTTCCATCTCCTCTGATGATCTGTAATGTTGTGAGCAAAACCAAAATAAAACAGAATAAATCAACTGCAGAAGAAATTAAACTGAGCAGAGTAAGGGCCCAGGTTTTTTTTAAAGCCAGGTACTGTTTGATGTTATGATGCCTACTAATGACCCAGACTTGACGTTCCCATGGCAGGGACTCTCACATTATCATATTTGGATGTTCAGTAATTGGCCTGCTTTTATGGCAGTCTGCAGGATCCCATGGTTTCATGATTGTAATTTATGACTTTTTAAAATCAGTTTATTTCTGATTTCTGGCAAAAACCATCCATTGTGAACCACTGTGTTTGCTTAACCATGGCATTCACTGAACAACTGTAGTGGTTGACTTAAAGAATGCCACAAAAAAGGTTTAAAATTGGGTGTGATCACATGGCAATCCACTTAGCAACCAGCACAATTTATGATCATAATCCCAGGGTCAATTATGGTCATAAGTCAAGGACTACCTGTACTCAGTATCTGAGCTGGACAGAGGAATGAGTCAGTTGGGAAATGCATGGCCGTAATCCTAAAGAATATCTCCCTTTGCAGAATATCTGTGAGAAAACTAGCTCATATTCAATGCACATATATAAAGATGAGACAAACACCAACAATGATTACTTGTGTTGTTCTAAATATCCTTTTCAGACAATCTAAAAAAAGAGGCTCATGATACGTCAGTGAACTGTGGGAATGAAAGCAAGAGGGCAGATGATAGAATGCAAAAGGAAGAGATTTGAAAACTTATTTTCAATAAAGCATAGTATACAGCCCATGTCTGTCTGTCTGTCTGTCTGTCTGTCTGTCTGTCTGTCTGTCTGT